GTGGAAACTGTTGGCGTTGCAATCGGTCTAATGCAACGACATATGACACCTAATGCCACGACATCAATGATCCGTTGCGTTAGATCAATACCTGATGCAACAACAACATTATTGCCATGACATCAGCTATAATACCTAATGTCACGGTTTCCTATACCTAATGCCACGGTTCCCTAAACCTAATGCCACGCAGTGCATATACCCAATGCCAATAATAATAATAATAATAATACAATTCAAATCAAAATTTTCAAAAAAAAAAAAGAATTTTATTAATATAAATTTAATGTTTGTACATTGTTATCTATAAGGAAAATTACAAAATTAAATTATCACTAATTAAATTATCACTAGGAAAAAAACAATTAAAAGTTAAAACTAAATCATTTTGTCCCCCAAACAATATTTTCAGCAATTCTTTGGACCGTATTATTATTTATTTCTCTTGCTTCTCCAATTTCTCAAGTAAAGCAATTCGGGAACACTTCGTGAAGCATCTTCTTCAGCTTCTGTATCCATCTCTAGCACTGTCTCTAGCACTGTTTACACATATCCAATTGATCTAAACCCCCTGGTAAACAAAACACACAAACAAATCAAAATAGGATTATAGAAGAATATAGCACTCAAAAAAAAAAAAAAAAAAGAAGAAGAAGAAAAGATCTTGATGTTTGTTCTCCCCCCCAGAAATGTAATAGTTTGAATATTAACATGAATGGTAACAATGTCATACTTCATACAAAGTAAAACAAAGACTTTTATATATAACCAACCAATTAAATCAAACAAGAATAGAGCAAATTTGTATCATAAACCTGCTCCAACTCTTTTTTAGTATACTTTTTTTTTTCATAGACTTAAATAAATCCTCAGTAACACTACTCGAGAAACCTCAAATCTAAGTGATATAATTAGTTTACCATATAAACAAATTAATCTAATTATATATAAGAATATGTAATAAGTCACCAAACTTCAAATCATTAGAAGGAGAAGAGACACATAAAATCATTAGAAGGAGAAGACAAACCTGCTAGCATAGAATTCATGGCAGCTTGGTGATATTGTATAAAGTACTGCAGAAAAGAATGTCGAGATTTAGAGAGTGAAATAAACAAAACAAACAGAGCGACTACTATGCCCCCAGATTGATCCAACTTATAGAGTACTACATAACAAAAATAATATTCTAAAATATTTACCAAGACAGTATTCGTAGAAATTTCACACCAAAGACCAATGAAATTTGCATTGTTCTAAAATACAAGACCTATCAAAATGTGAACACGTTGCGTACCTGTTAATACCACCATCTTATGGCCATAAAACAGAACTTGAAAACCTTTGAAAGCCCCTGTTGCTTTGGCAAAAGAAAACAACATATTCGTAAAATGACACTAATTTCAGTCAAACATAAATTCCAACAAAGATGAACGTTGTATAATTTCAGTCAAAACAATGTCTAGGGAGATAGTAATAACTGCTCCACTTCTGGAACTCTCAAGTTGTAGTAAAACATCTCTAACAGAGTAAATTGATGAGACTAATAAAATACTTATTGAGAATTGTGTGTTTCATAAAAATGGTAGGCCGAAACTGCTCCACCCTTAACTATTTCATTTTATCCTCATTATATGGAAGATATTATGATTGATAAACAGCAGGGACACAGTCCAAGTCGGGTTAAGATAATGGTGATGGTAAGGTTTTATGTCCAAGATAAAATTCTTAGATGTAAGGGTCTTTAATTTGCAAGTATAAATTTGTAGGATGATTAAGCAATAAAGCAACACTAGCCATAAAAAAAAATACATCAATAGAAGCAACAGTTCAACAACAGCTACAATAGAATTAAGGCAACATCATACAAAAAAGCTAGACATTGCAAGTTTCTTAAACTCTACAAAAGTAAAATAATAACAAGTGTCTAAGTTAATTAAAGAATGCATATTCTTATTATGTCACATTATAGTTTAAATTTTAACATATACTTCATGAGCAGTAGCTTGAGATGCTGTCGTCTCACATTATCACCCAAAAACATAAACAAAATCATGTGTTTGGTATGTTGCCCTTATTTTCCACTATAGTATCACGATTATACACATTCAATCGTTCAATATCTTTTAGTTAGCTTGCTTTATTACTAATTGCTTGATAAAGTGCAATGGTAGCATTAACTAATTATAGGACACTACTCATAAGTTTCACTCAAGTTTTTTCTCTTAGCCTGATTATTTCTCATAATACATGCTAAGGACAATTAGTGGTACCAATTCATGAGAATCTTTATAAGTGAAATGGATTTCAACTTTTGATCATATTTTTAGTTTTTAACATTCAACCTGAGTACAATATTGTACCTGGGATATTAGCTAACCATTAAATAACAGGACACTACTTATAAGCTCCACCCAAATTTTAATTATAGTGTGCAAATTATATAAGCATTTACATATATATTAATCATAGATACCAAGAAGCATGAAAGGCTTTCAACAAATAAACTTTCACTATTCTAATGATGGCAATGCATCTAAGACTCCTAAGAGGGTATTATTATTTGCTGAACCAAACAAATAGGATATTAATCTAAAAGTAATGCATATCATACTAGGCAATAGGTCGAGTAGCAACAATAATCATACTAAGCGACAGCAAGCTAAGCAGCAAACACACATCATTTAACAACAACAGTGGTTCAACGCAACAATACAACACGACACAACAACTACTATAATCAAAATTTATGCCTTGGAAAACAATCTAAAACCCAACCAAAACACGTGTCATCTTCTTTTCATAGATCGATAAGAACCAAACCACTAAATAAAAAAAATATTCCTTAAGCATAATTATCAACACCAAAATTAAAATATTTCACTTATTCATTTACCAATCCCGGGTACATGCAATGAAATAAAAGATAATTTTTTTTAGGAAAAAATGAAATAGAAGATAAATGACGCTACAAATGAGTATAAACTATAGAGTAATCTGTCACTACTTATATGATATCTCACCAAGACACCAACAAATATTCTGCCCATGAAATCACATTAACAAAAAATAACAATTAGATCAACCTCTAACCAATCAGAAGTTCATCATCCAACTTCAAATGATAAGTATGTAAATCAAATATATGTTATTATAAATAAGTTAGATCAAATAAAATGAGAAATGTCAGTTGAGGAACATGATCTTGATTGTGTTGAAAAACAAATTTATCATTCAATTAAAAATCCGGTAAACCCTCTTTGATACGCCTAATAATGAGATTAAAGGGAAACACTAAGCTGCTCAACAAAACTTATAAATCATAAAAATAGGGTGAATGCAACAAATCAACAAAACTAATGTACAAAATCCAATTAAATAGAAACCCTAGTATTTAATCTAACACATAGAAGGCACTATACTTCAACAAGAAAATTTAACAAATGAACTGCTAGAAAACATACATATTTTGCATCAAAAAACCAAATAAATAAACGATTATCAAGAATTAAACAACCAAATTACAACCTTTTTAGAAAAATTAAAATTGTCCTCAAATCACAGTGAAGAAATCAATTAAAAGGGTTTCGAATTATCTTCGTGAAAACAAATGAGCAATTTCAGAGAATAAATAAATACGAAGTATAAATTCAGGAGGAGAGAGAAAGAGAAGTAAGTGTTACCAATGAGGTGAAGTGCGACGGAGAATAGGTACGAACTACGGCGAAAATCAATAGGAGCATGAGAAATCTAGGGTTTCAGAACCCCCAACAAAGCCGGCACCTTCATAAGCAACTACAGGAAGAGGATGATGATCTTACAGCAGTTGACGGCGATTTTATGGCGGTGGACAACGGTGGTTCACTCTGCTTTCTCAAGCCACTGTAATGAGGGGTACTTTTTTTTGGTTAAAAATATAAGAGCACATCATATGTTGCAGATAGGTTTTTATTAATCTCCTTTTTTTTTCCGTTTTTTTTCGGGCAAATAAATTTTGGAGGGGTTTTTAAATTTTTTTAAAATATTAGGAGGGAAGGATGGCGATTCATTCAGGAAAAGCTTAGCCCTCTATGTCGTGCATTAGCTTTATGTGCCGTTGTATTAGCTCCTCTATTGCAACAGCATATAGGGCTAATTTAACGACATATTTTATCTGTTGTATTAGCACCCTCTTTTGAAGCATATTAATATTAACCATTTCATTAGATTGATCTATTGCAACGGTAATACCATTAGCGTCGAGTTAGTCCTTTTTTTACCGTTGCATTTGATATAAAATGTTGTAGTGTAATTAGGCCTTGTTTGGTTGCATATGGGAATCAAATGCCTATAGGAAATTACAATACATGGGCAATTTTATTACCTAAGAAATACTAAAATTGTGTTTGGTTGACATATAGAAAATCATATTTCCCATGAATTAGTTTCCTATGTTTTGTTTGGTTAGCTTATGTAATACCCATGTATTATTACAACTTGAACTACTTGTCCAAAATTTTGAGGACAATAATGTAATTTCACCCAAAATACATATGGGAAGTTTGAGTGACCAAGGTAGGGTGTGGGAAATTAATTTCCATGTTTTGTAGGACTTCCAAATTCCTTAGGAATTTCCACTTCCTACATTTTTGTTAACCAAACAACTACTCTTAACCACATTTCCCATGAATTTGTATTTCCCCCATTATTGAAGTGCAACCAAACAAGGCCTTAGGTTTGTAAATACCTATATATATTGAATGGATGAGAAGTTTCTACTCAAGGAGAATTACACTATTCCACATGGTATCAGATTTCAACTAGGGTTTTCTTTTCTTTTTCGCTCTAACCCTAACAACGATCCTTTGGCCTGGCCTAGCCGTGACCTGGCCTTCTTTTACCACATCCGTCCAGCCTTCTTCCATGGTTGGTGATGACACCCCCCTCCTCCTCCTGCTCCTCTTCCTCCCTCAACCACTCCCTTCCACCCAGCTTTCGCCGTATCTAACATAAAAAATCTCATGAGTATATCTCTTGATCAAGAAGACGCACAATATGCTGCTTGGGTTGAACTCTTTCAAATTCAAGTGTATGCCTTTAACGTTCTCGACCACATTGATGTTATCGTTTCTCGACCAACGGAGATTGATGATGCTACTTGGAAGCGCTTAGATGCTATCGTGAAACTATGGATCTACGGAACTATTTCTCGTGACCTTGTTCACACCATCATGAAACCGGGAGGAACGACTCTCGAATTGTGGACTCGCCTAGAGGAGATTTTTCATGACAATAAGCATACTAGGGCGGTTTTTTTGGAGGAGCAGTTCACCAATATCAAGCTTGAGCATTATGCCAACATGTCCAATTATTGTAGGCAAATCAATCTCCTTGCTGATCAACTTGCTAACGTTGACTGTCCAGTATTCGACTGTAAGATGGTTATGCAATTAATTACGGGCCTTACCAAGGGTGAATATGATACTGTTGCTACGATCGTGTCTCAATCCGAGCCGACTCCAAGCTTTAACAAAGCAAGATCGATGTTTCTTTTGGAAGAAACAAGGAAGAACAAGCAAGAGGAGATCGGGCAACAAGCACTCATAGCACATGGTCCCGCCGGTACCACTGCGCCATCAGCCACGTCATCTCAGGCTGCCGACAAGCAGTGTGGTGGTGGACGCGGTGGTGGGCGTGGCCGTGGCCGCGGGAAACCAGGCAAGGGCAGAGGTTGAGGAAAGAACTCACAAGGTTCTAATTCCTCAAACCCACAGCAGCAGACCTCTAGACTCAATCAAGGAGCCTAACAGCAGGCCCCTTAATGGGGTCCCCATCCTTGGCCTCAACAGAATGGGCAATGGGCCTTACCACCATGCCCATTCCTAACGGGACCTAGTCAGCAGCAGCAATTCCAGTAATACCGTGGGCATGTTCAACAACAGGGTGGCCTATTAGGTCCACGCCTAAACTCAAACCAAGCGTACTATGCTGCTCTAGTCCAACTAGCGTACGGTCAACTCTTAACTCTAACGGAATTCGGGCAAGCCTACAGTTTTATGAGTTTCCAACCTCCCGACAATGGATGGTACATGGATAAAGGGGCCACGTCTCACCTCACTCGTGATTCATGGCTATGGCAATATTACCACTCCCTCACCTCATCCACCCTTTACCCTCAAGAATGTCCTCTATGTTCCTAACATTAAAAATTTAATTTTCGTTAGAAAATTTGCTTGTGACAATTTTGTTTCTGTTGAATTTGACCCTCTTGGTTTTTCTGTGAAGGACCTTCTCTCAGAAACAATTCTAGTGAGATGCAATAGTGTGGGGGATCTCTATCCTTTTTCTTCAAATTCCGCTTTATACGACACTAGTCAACTATCTCTAGGTGCAATTTCTCCTTCAACTTGGCATCATAGACTTGGACATCCAGCGAACTAGTTTTTGATTTTCTTAGTAAACACAATTATGTTTGTTGTAATAAGAGAAATGTTTCTCAATTTTGCTATTCCTGTCCACTAGGAAAACATGTTAGACTCCCTTTTAAGTCTTCTACGTCTATTACTTTTTCACCGTTTGATTTAATTCATGCGGATTTATGGACTTATCCTATTTCTAGAAAATTGGGTCACAAATACTATTTGGTTTTGCTTGATGACTTCTCCCATTTTTTGTGGGTTTTTCCTATCAAATACAAATCACAAGTCTATGACATTCTTCTTAATTTTAGAGCATATGTTAAAACTCAATTTGAAAGGGATATTAAAACTTTTCAAAGTGACAATGGTCGCGAGTTTGATGATTCCCTTTCCGAAAATTTTGTGCAGATAATGGCATGGTATTTTGCCTTTCTTGCCCCAACACTTCATCCCAAAACGGCAAAGCCGAAAGAATTATACGCATAATTAACAATATGTCTCGTACAATCCTTTTCCATGCCTCCCTTCCACCTTCTTTTTGGGTTTATGCTATTCATATGGTTGCATATATTCTTAATATTCTACCATCCACAACCATAAAAAACAAAACACCAACCGATGTTCTATATCGTAGGTCACCCACTTATGACCATCTTCGTGTTATTGGTTGCTTATGCTACCCAAATCTTAGTGCAGTTGCCCCTCATAAACTTGCACCTCGGTCTCAACCATGTGAGTTCTTGGGTTTTCCTTCCAATGATCGAGGATATCTTTGTTATGACTTGTCTTCGAATAAAACTACAATCTCTCGTCATGCGACATTTGTTGAAAATAGTTTTCCATTCTCTAACATTCAACAATTCACGTTTTCTGACTATAGTATTATGGAACCTAATATTACACCCATGTATGTGCAAGCCTAACTCAAAACAAGCCCATCAACTACCCCCCTTTCCCATGCCAACCCATGGCCCACCACACCACCCTAATCTCCCACTAAACAAACAGACCATAGTACTCCGTAGGTGGGCCGCGGACAAACTCAGTCTACCACAACCACCTTGAGGACTTCTTTGTCCAGTCCAATCCCCTCACATAATGCCACCCCAAATTAACCCACTTCCCCTGCATCACCTGTGATCCAATTCGGGTTACTACCTCACCCTATTCCACACTCGGTTCCTCAACCGTGGCCTATTCCTCAACCATCTCACACCATGGCTACTCGTGCCAAGAGTGGCATTTTTAAGCCATATCCGAAATACCAAGCTAATTTAACAGTCCGAGCTATCTCTCCACTACTTAAAACTCCCAAATTAGCTATGCTTAACCAAAATTGGAATGCCGCCATGAATGAGGAATTTAATGCTCTTACTAAACAACATACTTGGGACCTCGTCCTGAGATCGGAAGGGGTAAATATTATTCGATGCATGTGGTTGTTTAAACACAAGTACAGGGAAAATGGTGATTTGGAGAGACATAAGGCAAGACTTGTTGTGAATGGCAAGTCTTAACAGGTTGGTGTTGATTGTGATGAGACCTTTAGTCATGTCGTAAAGCCGGCTATCATTCGTATTGTTTTGAGCATTGCTATGGGCAGAGATTGGCCAATTCATCAGTTAGATGTTAAAAATGCGTTTCTTCATGGTGACCTCAAAGAGACCGTGTTTATGCATCAATCTCCGGGATTTGTAAATCCTAATGCTCTTACTTATGTTTGTCGGCTCCGCAAATCTCTCTATGGCCTTAAACAGGCTCCTCGGGCTTGGTATCAACGGTTTGCTAATTATCTCTTGCAGATTGGTTTTGTGTGCAGCAAAAGTGATAAATACCTCTTTATTTTGCGACATGGTGCTAATGTTGCATATCTCTTGCTTTATGTTAATGACATTGTTCTTACAACTTCCTCAGAAAATATCAAGGGTGATATTATTGCTCTTCTTAAGTCCAAATTCTCCATGTTTGACTTGGGAAACCTGAGTTATTTTTTGGGAATTTCTGTAAGCCGAACGAAGCATTTTATGTTTCTCGGTCAGAGTAAGTATGCTGAGGAAATTATTCACACGGCAAAGATGGACAGTTGCAAACCGATTGTTACACTTGTCGACACTAAGTTGAAACTTGGGCCTCACGATGGTGAGCCAATGAAGGATCCCTCTCTTTACAGGAGCCTTGCAGGTGCACTCTAGTACCTCACTTTCACCAGACCTAACATTGCTTATGCCGTTCAGCAGGTTTGTTTATTCATGCATGCTCCTAGGGAACCTTACTTTAACGCTCTTAAGCATATGATCGGATATATCAGAGACAATTTGGATCATTGCCTACATTTATACCGTTCTGCTCCTACGAGACTTATTTCTTACACAGATGCCGATTGGGGGGGCTGCCCGGACACACGGCGCTCCACTTCAGAGTATTGTGTTTATTTGGGTGATAATATTGTCTCGTGGTCTGCGAAACGACATGCTACTTTGTCCCGATCCAGTGCCGAAGAAGAATATAGAGGTCTCGCTAATGTTGTTGCCGAAATCTATTGGCTCCGGAATCTTCTTCTTAAGCTACATTGTCCTATCCAACGGGCATCCTAGGTTTAATGTGATAATATTTCTGTCGTATACTTATCTTGCAATTCGGTACAACACCAACGTACCAAGCACATTGAGATGGACATTCATTTTGTACGCGATAAGGTCGCTCTTGGTCACATCAAGGTCTTACATGTTCCTTCTTCATATCAGTACGTAGATATTTTCACAAAAGGTTTACCACGACAACTATTTTTAGACTGACAGTCTAAGCGTTCGACCTCCTCCCGTTTCGACTGCGGGGGTGTGATAGATAATAGGTTAATATTATCTTGTTAATATTCTATAACGATATATTTGGTGTAATTTTAGGACTCTCATAATTAGGTTTGTAAATACCTATATATATTGAATGAATGAGAAGTCTCCACTCAAGGAGAATTACACTATTCTACACTCATGCTATGTGGGAATTTACATTTTCCTTGGAAATTTCTAACCAAAACAACATATTTTGGTTATTGCCTAAGAATTTCCATTTTCAAAGGAAAATATCTTCCAACCAAACAAGCACTAATTTCGAAACCTAAATCCTTATGCAAAGAAAGAGGGCCAATGCAAATAAATGGGCCAAAAAACGGATGAGGAAAAAACCAAGCAAAGAAATGGGCTAAAACAATAGGGATGATTGTGATGGAGCAACATAAGAGAAGGTGTAATGTGTACTATAACAATGGTATGAAATTGCCCATAAGTATATAAGTAGAAGAATGGGAGGACAAGCAATCTTCCCCCATTATCAGATCGAACGTCCCATTTTTCACATCATCTCTATTTCTCTCTCCTCTCTCTTCCTCCTTCTTCTTCTTTCGTCCTGTACTAAATCATTTCTCTTTTTTTTTTTTTTAAATTTCTTTTAAATACGCATTTTCACCTCAAAAACTTCAAAAAAAAACCTCCCCAAAATATATATTTTCACTCACCATTTTTCATTTTCCTACACACAAAATATCCATATTTTTGTCTGTTTTATTTTTATTTTTATTTTTATTTATTTTGGTTGGCTGTAAAACGCTTCAATCGTCAGTCCAATCTTAATATAAAATTTTTAATTTTAATTAAATTAATAAAAATAGTTGTAGACATTTTTAGCTAAATTTGAATCAAAATTATTATTTGACTTAAAATTGGAAAAAAAAAAAAAATTTATAAAAAGGGGACTCCATTTTTTATTTTGTTTGGAGGTTTGTATTGAGGAAGATATGCTTAACATGTCCTCAATCTTTCCTCTCATCAGATCTTAGCCTTATTTTTCTCTCAAATTCCGCATCCGGGTCATCTTCAATCGGTGGGTAATTTAATTTAATATGATTTAATTTAATTTAATCTATGTTCATAATTTTAATATGGGTATTTGATCTTTGTTGAGCTAGCTGTTTTTCTTGATCTGGGATTTTTTTTAATATTATTGAAATGTAATGATCGGTAATTTTCAGGGTATTATTTCATAATTCTGGATTTTATTGATCGAATGAAGGATCCGATGCTTTTTGATTGAATCCGAGAACATACCATTTTGTAATTCGGCATTGTAATTTTGTTTGGGTTTGTGATTCCTTAGGCCAGGTATGGTTCAATTGCATTTCCTTTCATTTGCGTAGTAGAATTGAATTTGATCAATGATAAATGTTGATTATTTGAGTTTCGCAACTATGGCTAGTTGCGGATTATAGCTGAATTCTATGGAAATGTATTGGATCCACGACGAAAGTGTGCTTAATCTTT